GCTGCTGCTGCTGCTGCAGTTAGTGCTGCATGTCTTGCCTTCTAGAGTAAGCGATTCGTTGTACTGTTCGTGCAGCATAGCCTCTGCTCCCTCTTGAGCTGAGCCCATTGCCACTGCTAAGTATTTCGTTACCGTGCCTGTGCACATACATATACAAATATATATATATATATATATTTATATAATACATATATATAAATATATATAATTAATAAATATACTAAAATGGCATTCTTAATATACCAGCTGATTTGTATGAATGCATACAAATACACTAACATAGTGATGTAAGTAAAAATCTATGTAGATATATCCATATATATAATATACACATATTTTATTTACACATTATATATATACTATTAACAATATATATATTAGATACGCCGTATGTAGTATATATATAGCTGTTCATGGCAGCAGAAGCCTTATTGCTAATTATTATTAGAAAAGCATTTATTAAGCATTCATCAAACAAACATTTATTATTTTAAACATTTGTTAAACAAGCATGCATTGAGCATTTATTAAATAAAGACTAATTAAACAAAATGATATTAGTTATCTTAGACAAATACCTGAAGGATCTGCACTGTACAGCGCAGGGCCGTCTTTGTCTACGCCCGCTATAAGCAGAGCGACTCCAAATGGGCGGCTCATTGTCTTCTTTCTCCTTCCTGAACCCACGTCTGCAGCAGCAGCAGCAGCAGCAGCAGCAACAGCAGCAGCAGCGGAGGCGCATGCAAGGCCCCACTAGCTTGCTTTCTTCTGGCATAATACCGCACACTGTCTCCGTTCATTGCAAGAAAAGAAAGAAAGAGATATACGATAAATGCAAGAGAAGCATGCATTGCAGAGAGTGCAGCACACATAATATGTTTCTTTTAATACTCCTAGACCAATGTCAAACGAATTCATTCAAGCGGCGACAATGTTAATAATCATAACAAAAGCAAATAATAATAGCAATAAAATAATACTGACAACGAAGTAGACAATGGTAAAAAACAAAAGCAATAATGATGAAAGACAAAATTAATAGCAGTTATAGGAACAAATACAACAAACAAACACATAATAATCAAAATCGGTAATAATGAATACAGCAATAATAAAACAGCATCAATAATAATCTCTATATTAAATATAATAACAACCTCAACATAATCTCAATAATAATAATACAGTACTGACACCTCTGATAACAACAGTAAATACCCACAACGGCGACAACAGTAAATAAGAAATACAATAATAGTTATAATAATAACAATAATAATAACACGATAATAACAAAAATAATAATACTACTATAATAATAATAATAATACTAATAATAATAATAATAATATTATAATAATAATAGTCTAGTAATAATAATAATAATATACCTGAGAAGTCAAGGGCGAGGTCCGCCACTGCGTCTACGCAGCTCCTGACGGACATTTTTTCGTTGAAGGTGAAGAAATGGTTAGCACATTCAACGCGTGCATGGTCTATTAGAGTTCTGCAGAGATAAAACAAGTTTATTATTTAAAAATAAATACAAAATGCAATTAAAACTACAAAAAAACGAAGAAATCGACCCAGTTAGATCGCAGTAAACTTCATGCATCCATTTTGTATATTCAGCTGTACGTACACCTCAACCACATGCACGAAATCTATCAATTTCTTTCCCTTGGTTTCTTAATGCAGCATAAGAAGTGTTGAAGACGCAACAATAAATAAATAAATAAATGCATAAGAGAATAAATAAATAAATAAGAGAATAAACAAGGAAAAGGACAAAAATCACAGACGCTCATTGCGCATGCAATATGGCTGTCGGTTTCAGCTAAATAAATATGTTAAATTAGACTAATTAATTGATTAATTAATTAATTAAATGAGGGGAAAAGATAGAAATAACAGACCTGGCGTCCGCTATAAGGCCGCTCATTGCGCATGCAATATGGCTGTCGATTTCAGCTATCTTTTGAATAGACTGAGGTTCGAGAAGACAAGAAGTAATTCTTCTTTCAGAAGCAAGCACAACCCCTTCTTTTGTCTGAATACCAATAGCAGTGCTGCCCAGTTTAATCGCCCCTAACGCATACTCCACCTGCATGCATGCGCAGCAAATGCAGCAAAATAAACAATAATCCGCTGCTACAAGGAAATTAAAAATATCAAACCCAAGCACGCAAGAAAACAAGAAATGCAGCAAACAAAAGAACAGCCCGGTCCACCAGCTGTCTAATAATTCTTTGTCTGGAGGTCGTAATGGTTTATACAAGTGTATGTAAGAAGAATTCTAAACACCGACACAGCACAAAAACATTTAAAAGAAACAAACAAACCTGAAAAAGGCGGCCCTCCGGGGAGAAGGTGTTGACCCCGCGGTCATATTCGCTCCTGCAGCAGAAACAAGGAAAGAAAATAATTGTTTGTTGCAGCTGCTAATGTTTTAATGAGCAATAGCATTGTGCTAATGCTGATTAAAACATTTAACTCAACTAAATACTTTAATGCTCGTTCCTCTTCGTTTTCCACGCAAACAAGCATTGATAAAGTTGATTGTTGCTTATTCTTAAGATTCTTCAGCAATATATATATATATATATATATATAT